AGACTCCCTCTTCAAAAAGCAATCACTAGTTGCCTGGGCCAGGAGCCAGGGAGGAAATAAAGGCCCAAGCACAGAAAGACAGAGACCCAGACTCAGTCACGACTACACTTCTCTCTCTCTACTATTAATCCCAATTAGCTAAATTCACCAATCTTATTTTACTCTTTGGTCTGAAATATCTTCTGCTTGTATCTGCCCTTCAGTTAGGTTATCATTTTCTCTCCCATTTTTGCACCCTTCATTGCATTGCTTTCCTATGTCTCATTGCCCGAGGCTCTTCTACCTTTTTAACAGGCAAATACAACTTTCTGCTACTTTCAAACTGTGTGGTTTGAGGTAATCACCTCTGTTCTCTAAACTTCCGTTTCCTCACCTGTAAAGTAAGCATAACACCTTTACAGAGTCACTGAAGTGCCTAGCAAAATGTCAGACATTAAGCAAGTGCCCCACGGCTGTTAGTGGGGCGCTCTTTCCCTTTCTATCCAGAGCTAAAACTTAGCTTAATCCACGTCAATCAACTCTTAATTATCTGGTTAACAGAAATGACCAGAATTAGTGAAATCTCACTCTCACAGGTTTAAACTTTCCACTACCTGGGAAAACAATCTGTTTTTTGTTTCTTCGTCTTTATAAATGGTTAATTTTTGTTTTAAATGTATTGATTAGAGAGAGAGAAAGAGGAGCAAAGAGAGAGAAAAACATTGATTTGTTGATCCACTTATTTATGCATTCATTGGTTGATTCTTGTATGTACCCGGACTGGGGATCAAACCCTCAACCTTAGCATACCAGGACACTCTAACCAACTTAGCTACCCAGCAAGGGCTCGATAAATAACCTCAAAGTATGGGTAATACTAATCCAGATAACTCCTATTTGCTTTGGAATGTACATTCTGACAGAAAACTCTTCCAACAGACTTACTCGTCTAATTTTGGTTTTCTAGATCCTAATTTTAAAAGTATGCATCCTCTAAGAAATCAGCAATCGAGCAATGTCTAGAAGTAACTTGGGTCAGAGCAATAAGAGTAAGAAGAGAAAAGAAGACAAGTATCCATTTCATGGACCATTCCTAACTCCTCACATAAATCAAAAGCTGAAATTTGATTTTGCAATGCACCTGGGGAGGGAACATGGTACTAACCTGTCCCCGGACTGCAGCTAATTGATATGTGACCCAAATCAAACCAATTTCTCCTAGAAAAACAGAATTGGTACTAAGATTGTAGTTCAATCTGGGCTGATCACTAAAAGGAAGGAAATGAAAAACAAGAAGCTGTGGGTGGCCACTTTTCACCTGCAACAAAGACTAAGAAGCAGAGGAGACTGTTCCGCAGACAAAGAATGAATCAAATGTGCAAGAAGCTGTGTGCGTCCCCAAAAGATCTCTAATTCCTGATTCCAAGCCCAGGAGCTTGAGTTGGTTTCTGATACTTGCGACCAATTAAATCTAATTAAGTCCCAATCTTCTTGGCCTCCTAAATTCCTTAAGTAAATGGCACCACTATGCCAGGTGGCTCAGTTGGTCAGAGCGTGGTCCTATACACCAAAAAGGCTGTGGGTTTGATCCCCAGTCTGGGCATGTACATGAGGCAATCAACTGACGTTTCCCTCACATTTATGATCCTTTCTCTCTCTCTAAAATCAATAAACATATCCTCAGATGAGGATAAAGCCACTACTACCCTCCCAGCTGCCTAAGCCAAAAGGCAGGGGGTCAACCTTGAATCCTCACCTTCATCCATGATATCCAATCAAGCCCCTAGCCTTATCACTTCTTCCCCTTAAACAGACCCAGAACCCCCAGTTCTCTCCACCCCCCGGCTTCTCCCTTTCCCAGACGTCTGTCTCTGCACACGTGGTCTCTGCCAGTCTTGCTCCCGCCACGTCTTTCACCTCTTCCACCGCCGCGCTGTGACCTGTGACGCTTGCCCAGTCTTTAAGGCCCGTCCCTGTGCCCAGCATCACACAGCAAGGCTCCATTATCACCTGGCCTCAGCCCCTCACAGCCCCCATCCCTCCCCCTGCCCTCCCCAAGCTCCGGCCACTGTGCCTTATGCCCGGTTTCCCAAAGCACTTGCATTCTCTCCCACCTCCAGGCTTTTCGCTCATTGGCTCCCTCTACCTGATGTCCTCCTCCCCACCCCACCACTCTTCGCTTGGCTACCTCCTACTCATCTGTCTTATCTGTTCGACATCTCCTCTTTCTGGAAGCCTCCCCAACCTGTGGACTGGTGTGTTCCTATGGCACCAGCTCTACCATGGTTCTCCTCTGACTTGATCTAAAATCTATTTCCTTGCTGGTCTCCTCCAACAGGCCATGAGCTCCTTTTGAGCAGGGTCTATCATGTTCACTACTGAGCTCTTAGCTCCTGGCAGAGAAGTAGCTCAATATTGAATTAATTAATTATTAAGAGTTCAGAGTTAATTACTCCTACTTTAGCACCAAACTCTACAGGGAAATTACTTAAGGAAAACTAATTCATTTATTTAAACATGGACTGAGAGCCTACTAAGTGCAAGACACAAAGCTTAGACCCAGAGGAGGCTCAGAACTGGAGGGGCACAAGACGAAGGTCACCCTCACCTGACCAGCCTGAATTTTCTTAAGCTACCTTTCCCCAGAAATTATGTGTTCAGAAAACAACACTAACTTGAACAGAACAAAAATGGGAAACTGAACCAGCTAACACTTGACTTAACTTTAATTATCCATGTTACAGTTCATCTCATGAATTTAGTGAATTATACTTACAAAGAAGGGATAGTTAGGAGCCGTCAGAGTTTCCTGCTGCTTCAGCCAGCCTAAACTGAAGAGTCTACTGCCTCTACCAGCAACTTATTCTACTGCTACCTTCCCAGACCTAGAACTGAACCTTTCCACTGTCACTATGGAAGAAGGCAGACTGGCTCAAAGTGCCACCTTCCCCCATACATCACAATTAGGCTGAGATAAAAGATGGGGAGAAGATTGTGAAGAGGGGAGAAAAGAGAGTGCCAAGGAAATGAACCTATTTTCCCCTGTCATATTCAGGGACTTCCCTTTGTTTCAGATTAAATCAAAGCCAAAGTAAATTTCAGTGCAGCAATAGAAGGGTTTTGGGGGGGGGGGAGGTTAAAGATTTTATTTTTATTTTTAGAGAGAGGGAAAAGGAGTGAAGGAACAAATCATCAACATGCCATGTGCGAGAGAAACATTGATTGGTGGCCTCTCTCATGCCCCCAACCTGAACAAACCACAACCCAGGCATGTGCCCTAATTGAGAATAGAACCAGAGACCTTTCGGTTCATGAGAAAGTGCCCCGACCACTAAGCCACACCAGTCAAGGCAGAGGACTTTTTTGGGTCCTAGACTTAAAAATGATAAACTCAGGTGAGAAAGAAAAAGAAAATAATATGGACTAAAATTTAGAACAAAATAAGGAGGAAAATTCTGGAACCTCCTTCCATGAATAATCCATATTCATTTGAGTTCATTCACTCGGGCAACATTTAGGTAGTACTCAGTATATGCCATTGTTTTAACCACTAGAGACATAACAGTGAGTATAATAAACCATAAGCCCTGCGTTTGTGGAGCTTATATACTAGTAGCAGAGAAGCAAATAATATATATCTTATGTTAGATGGTGGTAAGTGCTGTGGAGAAAAATAAAACAAAGCAAGGGGTGGGAAAGAGTGGGTGACAGGAGGCTGCAATTTATTTATTTTTTAATATTTATTTTTAGAGAGGAGGGGAGGGAAGAGAAGGAGAGAAACGGTGCGTGAGAAAATGGATCAGCTGCCCCTCGCATGCCCCCTACTGGGGACCTGACCTGCAACCCAGGCATGTGCCCTGACTGGGAATCAACCAGCAACATTTTGATTCACAGGCAGGTGCTCAATCCACTGAGGTACCCCAGCCAGGGCTCCCACTTAAATAGGTAGGCTAGGAAGTTCTCACCAAGAACGTGTCTTTTAAGCCAAGACTTCGAAGAGGTGAGGGATAAAACAGCATACCTGGGGAAGAAACTGAGGGGCCAGCAAGTACCAAGAATGGAAATGGCCCCTAGGCAGTGCTGGAAGTCTGAAGAAAAGCAGTAAAAGAACAAGCTTCTCCTGGGGGGTAACCAAAGGTAAGCCAGGGACTGACCAGTTAACTTTTCAGAAGAGAAAGAAAGGAAGGAACCAAGGAACTCAGGGTAACTCTAAAACACTACCTGCCCCTATAATGTCTCCCTTATACCCCAAAGTACTCACTCCAGAAAAGGCCTTCTAGTTTTTTTGCTCTAATATACAGAAAAATAAGCTTGGCTGCCTCTTCTGGAAATATGACCCAAGCATCCTATTTCACCTATGCTTGACAATACCTAAACAACTCTGAAACTGAGGCACAGACCTGCCCCTTATCAGGTAAGATCCTACACACTGAACAACTGTTTCTCCTCTACAAAAAATTGGAAGGTAATCTCCCAGAGTTCTGTCATAAGCCTGCCAATGATCTAAACTCAAGGAATGCTCGACTTCTCTCCCAACTGCCCTCAAAAATACAACCCAGCATTCCTCCCTTTTTCATTCAGGCTCTGACACTTTTAAGCTCAAAGTCAAAGGAAAAGTTTTGTCAAGAATGTTCAGCGAAGTGTAAGATTCCTGTCTCCTGTGACTTCTTTAGGTACCCTACTTTACGCTGTTCTCAGCATAAAGAAAACAAAAAACTCGGCCTGAGCTTGAAGATGCAACAAAAAAGAGAAGAATCAATTGTCCCTAGGCCTAAGCCGGGGTCTGGCATTGCCAAGTATGTGGCCCTTCTGCACGCGGCTCCAGCCAGCTCGGAGAAACCCGCATGAATAAAACACCTTATTAACCCCTCGAGGTTGATAAACTTCAGCTCAATCGCATTATACCAAGGACCCAATGGTTTGGAATCAACGGAAGCATTTATAGGAGGGAGTCCTTCCTACAGCTGAGCCCATCCCCAAAACCGACGGACAGTTTGGGGGTGCCCTCCCCAGATACTCACATCCCCCTTATGCAGCTCTGGCGCCGCAATCTTCACGGGCTCTGTCCTCTTCTTTGGCTTGGGAAGCCCCAGGGGGGGCCCGGCACCGCCGATAGGGGGGGGCAGACTGAGGCCAGGGCCGAGGGCCGAGGGCACCCCCAATCCCAGCCCCTCCCCAACTCCCGCTGCTTCAGCCGGGCTCACGCCCGGAGGTGGGGGGAAGCCTCCCAGGCCGAAGGGCAAGGGGGGAGGAGGCTGGAGCCGGGGGTCTCCGCTGGGTGGGGGCAGCAACAGCGGCGGGGGAAAAGCTGGGGCTAGCATCTGAGGGGGCGGAGGCAGCAAGGCCGGACCCTTGGGTGCGGGGAGAGAAGCAAACAAGCCCCCTAAGGTGGGCCCAGATGTAGGTGCCGCCTCCTCCTCCTCCGGCTCAGCCTCATCTGGCTCACTCTCATCGCTGCTAGCGTAAGCAACCAGCGACATGGCGCCTCCCGCTTTTGGTGCGCCTTTGCCGGCAGACTAGGCCTACTTGAGACCGGGGATGCCCGGAGGCCTAGGGGGCCCCGCCACTCGGCGGGGCGGGGAACCGTCAAGTCCACCTTCTCCGTACTCCAGGGCTAGCCCCGGCAGGAGCCCTTCGCCATTGCTGATTTCCACCGAATAGGGCTTCTCTTCACTTAAGCTCTTAATCCCGAGCAACTACACACAGCTAATGGCCGCCGAGTCACTCCGCCCCCTCCTCGCCGCTCTAAAATAGAAACTACAACTCCCAGAGAACACTTTGGCCATAACCCCATTCTTCGTCGCAGTTAGCTCAGCGCAAGTCACAGTGGGAGTTGGAGTTCGAGAAAAGATTAAGGAGGGGCGCAAAAAGACAGACGGGCAACCCGCCTCTGGCGCGAGGTCTTCTGGAATGAGTAGTTTTTTGGAGGGAGGGGGTGTCGCCTGACAATTCCTAGGTGACTACAAACCCCATCGGTCACCGCGGTAGTCACAGAGGCGAGTAGGAGAGCATTTCGGGTCTTGAAGTTCCCTAGGGTATAGCCTCTTGAACGCTAAGATTTATGGGAGATGTAGTGCTTTTAGAAGCTGCAAGTGATGCCGGGAATGAGAGGGAGTCTGGGAAGGTGGCGGATTGGGGAAAATAACTTAAAGGGAAAGTGTTGTGGAAATAAACTGATGAAGTTCCCCAGTCAGCTGAAACCAGAGTTGGAATCATACACCTCAAAAAGAACCAGGGCCTGAGAGACCTGTACGAAATTGGGCTACGAGCCAGGAGGAACCGAGATTTCAAGTCTAACAATAGACATAATGTGACACGAGAGGAGGTGATCCCCCTCACCTTGATCAAATTGCACATCCGGGAGCAAACCTAGCCCTTCCAGCCTGGGGACTGGCCTCCCTATGCAGCAAACAGTGAGACAGAAAGATAGGCAGGGCCCTGAAAAATCACAACCAGGTACTTAAGGTTAATCCCTTCCCCTCAGTCCACAGGAGTAAGCCGCATTTCAGCCCTCTTACAGATCTGGGGCATCACTGAGTCCCATCTCCTCGCCTGTGCCTCCCACCTACCCCTCTGCGTATGTTCTCCACAGCTGGCTCTGTCTGTGCCTGGCGTTTATTGGGCCTTTGTGTGCACCCTTTATATGTCCATGATTCTTTACCTGTCCCTTCCTGTCCACCTGTGACCTTGTGTCCTTTTCTTCTCTATCCATCTTTGTCCCTTCCTGTCTGCCTGTGACAGTGCCTTCTACTTGTCAGAACTCTGTGTATCCTTTACATGCTAATCCACCTCTGTGTGGGTGCCACCTCCCTGCTCCCAGAGAGCTGGAGAGTCTACTGAGCTCAGCCCATGAAGATTGTTGAGGTTTGGGGAGGAGTCTAACGAGGAAGATGGAAAGGATAATAAGGGGACAATGATGAAAGGATAGGGAGAGGGCCAAGCTTGATCCTCCATGAAGCCTGATATGGACCCCTCCTCTGTACCCTCTCCGTGTGTCTAAATCTCACCCTGCCTATATAGACAAACTCATGCCACTTTCTCTGTAAAGTTTCCTTAAATATGCTTGCTCCCTGCTCTGGATGTCCAAAGCATTTTTTTCTGCATATCAATTCTTAAACTTTATTTACTTATTTTTAATTCTCACCCAAGAATGTTTATTGATTTTAGAGAGAGAGGTAGGGAGAGAGAAACGGCAGTTGGTTGCCTCCTGAACACACCCTGACCTAGGATCCAACCTGCACCCTTCTGGTGTACGGGACAATGCTCCAAACTGAACCACCCTGTCAAGGTGTGATTCTTCAACTTCAATGTACCTGAGATCACTGGGAAAGCCTCTTACATAAAGTGTAAATTTCTGAATCAACACTTAAGACATTCCTATTCAGTAGGTATGGGGTGAGGCCCAGAATCTGGATTTTTAAGGAACTCCTCAGTTAATTGCAAAGCAGAAACCAGACCTTCCAGTCCTGGTGTTCTGTGCACAATGCTGACTTCTAACACCTGCTTTTTGAATCTAGGTTCCCCAACCTATTTTCTGTGACTTCAGAGAGGCAGTCACCTCTCTTCTCTGAATCTTACTTTTCTCCTTTGAAAAATGGATAGAGTATTAAGGAGCCCTGTCCTACTTCTGTGAGAAATATCTGGTATTAACACACAGTGAAATGATTTAGAACCCTAAGAGAATAAGAAACTTTCCAAGTGGTATGACTATCCTTGTTCCTTGTTAACACACTGTGCTGCCCTGCAGGGAAGAGAAGCCACACAAGGTCAGGGACCTATCTTTGACAAATATTTTCAAAGCTAGGTCCTCTTACTCTAAAGATTAATGATTCACGCAAGAAATTGATAATAGAAACTTTAGGGCTGGGGTGGGAAGGGGAATTATTTCTTAGGTGTACTTTACATACCTTTAGAAATTTGTAAGCTGTATGTGTATTATCTAATCAAAAGTAGTAATAGTAATAAAGTCTTCCAGAAAAAGATAGTAAACTGAAAAGATAACTAATTGGGTTCTTTCCTGAAATCCTCCTAAAACTTCAATCACGGAACTTTCTGTTAAAAGGCATTAAAAACCATTTGGGGAAGATTTAAACCCAGAATGATGGGACAATGAGAAGAGGAAACCACAGTTCCAACATTTTGGAAGATGTAAAGCAAATGCCCTAGCGGTAACTGACTTGGCACATCTAAGACAGCTGAGACCCAAGCTGGCCTTGGGGAATGTAAGAATCAATGTGCTCTATTGTAGAGCCTCAAAAGGCTCAGGAGAACCTCTGGAAGTACATGAGACAGGGAGGGAACAAAAAATGATGGCTGGTTAAAAGCTGTTTAATAAACTGTTACAGCTCCTCCCCCTCTTCATGCTAGTGGGAGACTGGTTCTCCCCAACCCCATAAAAATAAAGGTAGGATTTTGCTTTTGCTTTTTCCTCAAGAGGGAATAAAACAGGATTTCCGATATATGGGGGAAACCAGGAGCAGTCAAGGATAGAAGCACTGCACAGAATTCAGGGGAATTAAAACAATATGCACATGGGATACAGAGACCGAGCCGTTTCTCCCAGAAGACTGGCCATGGGCCTTTACCCTCCATCCTAGATATTGGGAAAATCTCTGCTGAAAAATTTGCTCAGCTCAAGATGTAAGGCCTATGGAGTCTGATATCACAGATTCATCCTAAAAGTTTTCCAACCAGATAATCTTAACAGCAGGTTCTCAGCTAACAAGCCCCAACCACATGCCCAGAGGTACAAGATGGCTTTTTAGTCCCTCACTCTTAAACATTAGCAGGCACCCCAGATTATATATTGAGGAAAGCCTTCAACATGAGTGATAGAGACAAAACAAACACACACAAATACAGAAGGTGTAACCCTAAAAGGTATGACTCAGTTGGGCATCATCCAGCAAACCGAAAGGTCATAGGTCATGGATTTGATGCCTAGTCAGGGCACATGCCTGGGTTGTGGACCAGGTTCCCCACTGGGAGCCTGCAGGAGGAGGCAACCTATCCATCAGTGTTTCTCTTGCACATCCATGTTTCTTTCTCTCTCTCTCTCTCACTCCCTCCCCCTCTCTCTAAAAATAAATAAATAAAATCTTTTAAAAATATATAGAGCCCTGGCTGGTGTGGCTCAGGGGCTTGAGCACCAGCCTGTGGACCAGAAGATAACCGGTTCGGTTCCTGGTCAGAACGCATGCCTGTGTTGTGGGCCAGGGAGTGTGTGAGAGGCAACTGATCCATGTATCTCTCACACATGTATGTTTGTCTCTCTTTCTCCCTCCTTCCTGTCTAAAATAGATGAATAAAATCTTTTAAAAATAAAAATATATGGAAAGTGCAGATTAAAAAATTTTAAAAACCTTTCAATAATTTTCTCAGATAAACAAGAGAAATACTGTGTATGTGAAACAAAAACAGAATGCCATAAAAAGGGGGCATGCAGCCCTGGCCAGGCAGCTCAGTTGGTTGGAGCATCCTCTCCACAGGCCAAGGTTGCTGGTTTGATCCTAGGTCAGGGCACATACAAGAAGCAACCAATGAGTATAGGTAAGTAGAATACATTGATTGATGTTTCTCTCTGTTTCTCTTCCTTCCTCTCTCCCTCTAAAATCAATCAATCAATAAATTTTTAAACATATTAATATTTTAATATATTTAAAATATATTTTTTAAATATTAATATTTTTTAAAACGTTATTTATTTATTTTTAGAGAGAAGGGACAGGGGGGAGAAAGAGAGGGAGAGAAACATGGATGTGTGGGAGAAACACTGATCAGTTGCCTCTCACACGCCCCCAGCTGGGGACCTGGCCCCCACCCCAGGCATGGGCTCTGACTGGGAATCGAACCCGCAACCCTTCGGTTCGTAGGCTGCCACTCAATCCACTCAGCCACACCAGCAAAGGCTAAAAAAAATTTAAATTTTTTTTTTATTGCTGTTCAATTAAAGTTGTCCTCATTGTTCCCCCATTGCTCTTCCCCGCCCTGCCCACCCTCCCTCATCCGTCCTCCCCCACCACCTTTGTCCTTGCCCGCGGGTCCTTCATACTTGTTCCTTGACTTGACCCTTCCCCTTCTTTCCCCCATTATCCTCCTGCCCCCTCCCCTCTGGTCACTGTCTCTGGTTCTACTTTGCTCACTTTTTTGTTGTGTTGATTATGTTCCACTTATAGGTGAGATCACATGGTCTCTGTCTTTCACCTCCTGGCTTATTTTACTCAGCATAATGCTCTCCAGTTCCACCCATGCTGTCGTGAAGGGTAGGAGTTCCTTCTTTCTTTCTAAAAAATAATTTTAAAAATATAAGAGCACAGGGAGACCAAGGGGAGGTGCTGGGGGATGGAAAAAATATATATGAGTATAAATAAAATTCTCGCTGGAAGAGTTGGAATGAAAAGTTAAGAAAATGAGAAAACCGAGCAAATAAAAAGAAAAAAAAAGACAAGAAAATTAGAGAACCAGCCCACAAAAATCTGAATAATGAGTTCCAGAAAAAAAGAAAGAGAGAGCAGAAAAAAAAAGAGGGAGTAAATCAAATCATCAGTGGCATAATTACAGCCCTGACTGGTGTGGCCCAGTTGGTTGGAGAGTCTTGCCCCAAAGTGAAAGGTTGCCAGTTCGATTCTCGGTTCTGGGGAGCGGGTTTGGTCCCCAGTCAGGTGTGTCAGGACTCGTATGAGAAGCAACCGATCGATGTTTCTCTCCCTCTCTTTCTCCTTC